AAAGTGTTTACTTGAAGTCAGGGGCAGCATTTATTACACTGGACATATTATATATAGAAAGGATGTTACTAATACTTAGATTTGGGTCAACAGCCCAAAGCAAATCCATGCATTATCAAATGCATGGATGAACACAGCAAATCTTCGTTTGTTGACAAATATGCATCAAATAACCAGTTAACAGATTGACTGCAACTACTGTATGTGTCCTGTAATATGTACTCCAGCAAAAGTGACATTAAAAAATGTTGAAATCTGGAAGCTCCCTGAGGATATTTGGTCTATCCCTGAGTGGAACAGTAAGGTGCACATAATACTCCTTGTTACTCATTCACAAAAAAATGACAGTCAATAAACAGAAACACACCATGAGAAAGTTCTAATAAATAATGTCCCCTGATGTAAATCGATTGAAAATAATGTTGCCCAGTGATGTTGGTCCAAATTCCATCACAACGAATAATGCCTGACTGCCTGCCAACACAAACATGTTGACCTGTGCCACGATGGTTCTCTGCTGTCACATTCACGTTGCTTACAGCTAGCCAGTTGGCTGTTCAATGTCATCACTCTGGCTAATGATGTTGGTTGGCGTCTTTGTTCAAATATGGCCAAGACCATATTTTGTCAATGATGTCACTCAGGATGTCCTCTAGCTTGTTTACATATTGAAAGAAGCCGGTGACCAGGAGGCCAACAGCTTTCATTTGTTGGTGTAATACTGTCACTAAATGAATGACTTCCAGCTGCAGCAGTCTGAAGTTTGGGCGGGCAAACTGGCCAGATCTGTTTTTTTTGTTTACCAGTTTGGTGAACTATGAACAGCTTGGGTTTTGGGTTGAACTCATGGTCAAAGCAAACCCAAACCACAACCAAGTGAACTTTTTCTTCTGTCCACATCTGAATGTGGTTGGGATTATTTCAGGGGTCGGCAGATATCTGTACTGAAGCAAAGTGCAAACTGTGATCACCATACCTATAGGGGATGGGGCATGAACAGTCTAGCAATTCCAAAGTTATAATAATAATTTCAAAGCTTTATGTAGATGATCCACAAGATCTTTGCAGCTCCTCTAAGAAGAGAAAGGTCAGATCTCCTCCTTGCCAGGCAGGACTTTGCTGTGGCTGTTGGAGTAGTGTAAATCTCAGAAATGGATGGACAGAAATACAAATACCCTGACAGGTAGAAAAGTTCTCTTATTAAAATTTCATGTTTGTATTTAAAGGAGAATATCAGACAAACCCTAACTAGTCTTAAAAATGCTAATTTCCCCCCCAACACCTACATTATACTAACTAACCAGCAGAAGAAAGATGTATTTACTTACTTTTTTTTTTTAGCCTTCTCAGGCCCAGAAATGTAATCCAGCTGACAATGGATGGGACATGGAGTCTATGGATGATGTCACTGCTCCCCCCAACACAAGGGATCATGTGACCGAACCAGAGTGGACTAAAAATAGGTATGTATATACTGTACATATTTCTTACAGAGGTTAGTTAATAGTGATGGGCCAAACCTAACAAGGCTTCGACCGCTAACTTTGAACAGGAAAAGTTCATTAAGGCAACTTACCGCATCTGAGTATGAGGTAAGATAACGCACAGCATTTAAAAAACAAATCTACTAAAATACCATACAAGTTATTTTATTAAGTCATGTGGTATTTCAGTAGTGAAAACATGCTTTAATGTTTCAGCTGTCAGAAGGGTTCCCCACTGACAGCTGAATGTAAAAAGAATTGCCAACAATTAAACATTTTGAAAAAAAAAAAACAACGTGGGGTCATCCCCCCATCCATACTAAGCCATTCAGGTCTGGTGTGGATTTTGAGGGGAACCCCCACACCAAAATGTAAAAAAAATGTAATGGAGGGTCTCCCCCAAAATCCATACCAGACCCTTTTCCGAGCATGCAGCCCAGCAGGTCTGGAAAGGGGGGGACGAGCAAGTGCCCCCCTCCTGAACCATACCAGGCCTCATGCTCTCAACATAAAGGAGATGCTTTAGGGCAGAGGGGGCTCCCCCCTAAAATCACCATGTCCCCATGTTGATGAGGACAAGGGCCTCTTCCTCACAACCGTGGTCGGTGGTTGTGGGGGTCTGCAGGCAGGGGGCTTATCGGAATCCGGAAGCACTCTTAAACAAGTTAAAAAATTGACAGTAGATAGTTTTTGACAAGTCCTTTATTAAAAACAAAGATTTAAAAAATGTCCCCTGAAGTAGATCCAAGATCAATCACGATGCCCGCCGCCACCACCAACCTGAAAAACAAGAAAGAAAAGGCTCCACTCTCAACGCTGGCTCCCAGTCACCTGATAGCTGCGCCAGCCTGACAGCTCTTAAATATCTAAGGGGCAAGGCCACTCAGTGATGACAACAGGGTGCCTCCGCCCCTTTGTGAAGTCATCATGTGCTGTGATTGGCCAAAGCATTGCACCTGACTTATAGTCAGGTGCATTGCTTTGACCAATCACAATGCACTGACAGAGCACAGCGCATTGTGGGGCGTGGCGGCAAAACAGTCTGTTGAATGCCCTTACCTGCGTATGTTCACCGAACACACGAATGGCTGATGTTCGAGTCCAACTTACGCTCGCCTCGAACATCAAGCCCAACACTGTTAGTCAACATAGGTGTTGGGAGGGGGGGAGCATTTTTAAGAATAGTTTTTGCTTGGAATTTCACTTTAACTGCTTGCCTACAGTTCAGCATTAATATGAGTATAATGATGGCAGAAGCCAGAGAGCACCAGGGATGCATTAATACAACAGTAAGGCCTTAGGGACCCATAAATGATGCTGTCCTTTTGCACAAGCTCCATCCCTTGTTCCTTTTGCAAATACACTACTAGAATGAGAGACTAGAGGCAGCATGGAGTGTGCTTTATACAGAGAACTGCCAAATAAAAGAAAGAAGAGATGGTTCAAAGATCTTCTGACTCCCCTCAACATCCTCTGCACCTATTTTCCCTTAGTTTTTTTTTGCGCTCTGTTAAGGGATAGTTGGAATCCTTAAAGGATAAGTTCACTTAAAAAACAGCATTGCACCAGTCATGCAGGACTCCTACAGACTGTCATTGTAAGCCCTGTACAGGCAGACAGTTTCACATTGACAGGAAGATTCAACAAACTACCACAGCAGTTCATTGAGCCTGGGATCACACATGTGCGGTGCGGCATATCGCATGTGATTCGCACAGGAACCTCACTGCATTCCTATGCAAATCACATGTAAATTCTGTGCAGTGTGCGATTTGAGCCATACATGTTGTATGGCTCAACTTGCACCGCATCCCCACCAAAAATGTACAGGACCCTTTTTTTGGTCCGCACTAGAATCGGATCGCATGGGTATTCACACCTATGGGAACCGATTCTGCACATCGCACCATGTTTTGAGGACCGATTTCAGGGTGTTGTTCAACGGTTCGAATGAACGGGGTGAGAAACTGCTGCAAAATCCACACCGCATCAGTGTGTACCCATGAGAGATGGGGAAACAGCTCTCATTGTTTGAACACTGTTTGTGTGCAGTAAATTAAACATTCTGGAGTGACATTCTGCGGTTTAGCCACAAGATGTCACTGTTTTTCTAACACAGCCTCAGACTGCATAGATATTTCTATAATCAATAAGAGGTGGGGTTTTCACATGGAGTTTAGTGAACAGGAAGAGGAGACTGTTTTGAACAATGCTGAATGAAGGGGCCGTGTGAGCTGAGAATCGGATGACATCCAGGTGTGAATGCATCCCTCAGTAACCAGAGCTGCGGCTAAGTGAAGCTGATCATGTCCAAGACCCTGATCCTGTTCAGAGAAAGGAAGATTGCTGCCAGGAATGCTGATGAGAGCAGAATAACAACGCAACATATACTGCGATATCACATGCTTGTTGGGAGACATTTGTTCTGTTCAGAGTCACCAGCGGATGCAAAGCAGACTCGGGTCGGTAAGCTCGTGCACGCACCTCATTTCAGTGTTGGCGCCTATAGACTGAGACTAGGCCTATAGTTAGTTAGTTAGGGTCTCTGTTTGTGTCAGGCCACAAGTGTTCTTACTGATCATTGGAAGGACTCCATAACCTAAAGTGACATTTCACATTGGAGAGCTGATACAATCCCACAAACTCAAGCCAGACTGGCGTTTTGCTCAGAAGGAATACTCAGGCACGTGCTACAGGACCAGATATGGGAAGGGGAATACTGTAGATTTGTGTAAGATTGTAAGCTGTTGTGCTGCACCGCAGGCTAGCCCATACCATACACCCATACACTGATTCATGCTCTTTTAGGGTAATAACAGGTAAGGTGTGGCAGCTTAGTTGTGCCCGCCAGTAGGTAAATTACTACACTTTCTACCTTCATCCATCAGAAGGCGCCGTGCTGTGTAGCACAAGGGTCTCAGCCTTTGGGCTGGGTGTATGTAAATTTATTGCATGTTCCCAGCATTTGTGGTTGTGTTTATTTGCTACATCTAAGTAAAATTCTGGTGTGGCAAAAGCTGGTGTTGGGGTTGCTTTCCTCGTTCGTGACTTCACTGTATCCTGGGGAGCCCACCCCGGTACATGGCTTACACCCGGGCTGAGGACTACAAGCCAACAGCCGCAAAGGAATTGTTGTTTCCCATTCACAGAACTTGTTTTTTTTTTAAATTGTGACAGCTATCTGGGGGAAAAGATCCCCCACTAGCTATCACAACGGGGGATCAGGGAAGGTCCGGGGGCCGGTGTTACATGGGTATAATATGTTACGAAAAGTGAACTTATCCTTTAACTACCTGCCGACCGCAGATAGCCGAATGACGGCTTCACTGCGGCCGGCCAGTTCTGGGTGGACGTCATATGACGTCCCCCCAGAACGCGCTCTCCTGCGCGCCCCAGGGGGCGCGCACCCGGCGATCTTCGTGATCGCTGTGTCCTACGGACACAGCTGATCATGTGATGTGGTAAAAGGCCAATCACAGCGGCCTTTTACCACCTGATCAGCGGTGTCCAATGACATGCTGATCAGAGGGAAATGCAAGTGCCGGTTCTCGGCTGCACTTTCCTCACGCTGTCAGATCGTGAGGAAAGTGCTGCCGAGAACCGGCAGTTGTCAGAGCGGGGATCGGCACCGATCATCAGGGCACTGATGATCAGTGCCCTGATGATCGGTGCCCAGCAGTGTCACCCGCAAGTTCCGCCCACCTGTGCCCAGCAGTGCGCCCACTAGCTCCGCCCACCTGTGCCCAGCAGTGCACCCACCTGTGCCCAGCAGTGCACCCACCTGTGCCACTCTGCAGTGCCACCTACCTGTGCCCAGAAGTGCCACCTACATGTGCCCAGCAGTGCCACCCACCTGTGCCCACCCACCTGTGCCCACCAGTGCCACCCACCTGTGCCACCCACTTGTGCCCACCCACCAGTGCCACCCACCAGTGCCACCCACCAGTGCAGCCCAGCAGTGCTGCCAGTCAGTGCCACCAGTCAGTGCCCAGGGGTTGTGCCAGTCAGTGCCGCCAGTCAGTGCCCAGCAGTGATGCCAGTCAGTGCCTTCTATCAGTACCCATCATCAGTGTCACCTATCAGTGCCGCCTATCAGTGCTGCATATTAGTGCCGCCTATCCGTGACACCTCATTAGTGCTGTCTATCAGTGCCGCCTATCCGTGCCACCTCATTAGTACTGCCTATCAGTGCCCTTTAGTGCTGCCTATCAGTGCCCATCAGTGCCGCCTATCAGTGCTGCCTCATCAACGCACATCAGTGAAGGAGAAAAAATGCCTGTTTGAAAAATTTTATAATAGAAACAAAGAAACTTTTTTTTTTTTTTTAGGCAAATTTTTTGCACTTTTTTATTTATAACGCAAAAAGTAAAGCGCCCAGTGGCGATTAAATACCACCAAAAGAAAGCTCTATTTGTGAGAAAAAAATGATCAAAATTTCATATGGGTACAATGTTGCATGACCGCGCAATTGTCAATCAAAGTGCGGAAGCGCTGAAAGCTGAAAATTGGCCTGGTAAGGAAGGGGGTATAAGTGCCTGGTAGGCAAGTGGTTAATGTCTTTTCCTATTTACAGAAAACTAAAGTCTTTCTGCTGATATGGGGACCTAATGAAGGACCATGCAGACTACTACTGTTGCTTTCTTCTCCAGGGAAAAGCCAGAGGGAGTAATACCTCTGTGAAGGATGAGAGTAGCTGAATGCATGTGCCTATGACAGCCAAGGTATACACTCAGGTCAATTTAACCGTATGTGGGTTCCATGGCCTTGGAGCTGAATTTCTCTGCATCTGAATTTCTGCTGTGCTGATTTTTCAGCACTGCCCAGTTCTCTATATCAGGAGCCAGCTGACTAGGATGCTCCTACAATGCTCCTCCTCCATAGACACAGAACAATGAGTGAGCATTGGGCACTAGCGCAGGATAACATAAAAAGCTAAAGTAAAACGAATGCAGCCACCATGTCTAATCCCTGATAAACTTCAGTATATTATGTCTGTTCTTGGGTTTAGATACACTTTCACTTTTTTGTTGCATGTGTTGTTGGAACAATATTTAGTTACTGCATATGGATTTTGAACTTCCTTACACCATATGACCAAAAGTTTGTGGACTCTGGACTGCCACATCTATATGAGCTAATTGTAAATTCCATTCCAAAATTACAAGCATTAGCGGTCTCAGGCTCACACCTGTGCAGGTTGCGTTTGAGCCGTTTCTGCATTGCATTTTGTGTTGCATTTTGCATTTCTGCACTTGCATTTTTGAAGCGTTTTTTATGATTTTTCTTTTTTTTTTTTTTTTCTTGTTGCTAAGCAGATTTAAGATGCAAATTGCATCAAAAACACGGCAAAGAATGCAGCAAAAATGCAATACATGCTTCTCTGTAGCATTTCCATTGAAGTCTATAGAACCAAAAACTCTTTGTATTCAAAAAAGTCTCTGACCCATTCCAAAAAACGCACTGGGTGAAAACGCGCAGATGTGAACATGTCCCATAGGAAATCATGTTAAATGGTCTGTACTGCGTTTCTGCAAAAAGCAAAATGCTGCTGAAAACACTTAGGTGTGAACCTAGGGTCAATGCCATTCAGTTTGAGTTCACATGTACAGTAACATGGAGCATCAACCCCCCCTTCCACCCCCTTTTGGCTCTGGCTTGCTGCTCTATCTTGACATGACCTACTTGGTTATTGTGAAATGTCCTTAAAAGATGTCATTTCCTTTCTTAGTCCTTTGGAATCATGGAATCCTACCCTCTCTCTTAGTATGACCCACTTTGTATACTGCCCTGGGAAGTTGTCACTGCTTTTATCTGAGAAATGGACTCTTAGTTTACTGCATTGCCTCAGTATGGTCCACTTTGTGATCTCCTCTTAACAGGTTCTGGACTCATGACTTGGCATGACCACTTAAGGGTAATGTATATATTTCTTATATACATGTCTTATTATTAAGGTCAGGATGAAAATATTTTTTTAAAATAAAAAGTAAATGTGAGGTCACATAAGTGACTTGTGACTTATCATATACAGTATCTCAGCAGAAGGCTTGAATCAGTCAAAGAAAGCTGCAAGCTGCCATGTTATGCTATCTTAGGCTAACCCATAATGCTTTTGTCTTGTTCTTTGTCTTCAATAAAAAATTAAAATATTTATTGATAAAATAAAGATTGTGTATACACGTATATATATATATATATATATATATATATAGAGAGAGAGAGAGAGAGAGAGAGAGAGAGAGAGAGAGAGAGTTTTTTTTAATAGATATCAAACAATGATTTAAAAACATAAAGTTAAATAAAATAACTACCATGAAGCTGACCCAAAACCATTATAGTTTCTAATTTTTGAACTTCTCTAGAACGGAGAAAATCCTTTACAGTTTTACAAAACTCATGTATAACTAACTAAATGTCATTGAAACTTATTTTTAACCATTAGCCGCCCGGCCAATGGCCGTTTGGCGGATTCAAAAATGTCTCTGCACTCCGGGTGCATGCCATTTGGCGTGCTCCCGCACATGCGCCGTTTGCGCTAATGCAGAGCGGTGCAGCAGTGCGATCTGTCACCGGCCGTGCACCTCGGACGCGGCCGATGACAGATCCGAGTACCGGCTCCCGTTGCTGGTACTATGTGACCTGCTGTGACCAATCACAGCAGGTCACATGACAGTTGTATACAATGGATGGCTTCATTCATGATGCCATCCATTGTATACTAGTGCCTAGCTGTGAATGGTCACAGCTAATCACATGCACATGTCATGTGATTAGCTGTGACCAAATCACAGCTAAGCACAAAAAAAAAAAAAAAGCTGAATGAATCGATTTCATTCAGGTAAATGCTTGCTTATAGCAAAGTAATTCTTTGCTATAAGCAAATTGTGTAAAAAAAAAAAAAAAAAAATACTGATCACTTCCCCAAAGTAGTACAATGTTACTATGGTAACATTGTACTACTTTGGTCATAGTAAAATATGAAAAAAAATCTTAAAAAAAATGTAATAAAAAATTAAATATAATAAAAAAATATATATATATATATATTTTTTTTTTCATACTGTCACCAGTCAGTGTCCCTGTTCACCGCCATGCCAGTTATATGATGACGCTGTACTGCACTGGTGACAGTATGTAAAAAAAAAATAGTGAAAATAATTTTTTAAATTTTTTTAATTTTCCGAAAAATTATGACAAAAAAATACAACTTCAAAAAACTCGCCATGCCTCTTATGAAGTACGTCGGACTGTCTACTCTGCAAAAAGGGGTCATTTGGGGATATCTGTAATATTCTGACATTCTTGGACCTCAAGAAATTAGATTGGCTGTCAGTACTTCAGGATTGATCAATATTCAGATCTATACCATAGTTTGTGAACTCTATAACTTTCCTACAAACTAAAAAATACATCCTAATATGGGTTATTTTCACCAAAGAAATGTAGCAGAATACATCTCGGCCTAAATTTATGAAGAACAATTATTTATTTGTAAACTTTTATAACAGAAACAAAGAAAAATGTGTTTTTTTCCCAAAATTTTTGGTCTTTTTTTGTTAATTTAGCAAAAAAATAAAAACCCCAGCGATGATTAAATACCACCAAAAGAAAGCTCTAGTTGTGTGAAGAAAATGATAAAATTTTAGTTTGGTACAGTGTTGTATGACCGCGCAATTGTCATTCAAAGTGTGAGAGCGCTGAAACGTGAAAAATGGCCTGGGCAGGAAGGGGGTAAAATTGCACGGTATTGAAACGGTTAACTTATTCATTATTTTTTATTCACACATTTTTGGATATTCACTGGAAAAGCAAGTTGTTAGTCCAATTCTTGGGTTGCTCATCATTCACTATTTCTAGGTATTCAACCTGGAATTTCAGTAGACAAAGGGGTTGATTTACTATAGGCAAATAGACTGTGCACTTTGCAAAGTGCAGTTGCTCCAGAGGTTAGCAAAGGAGGTAAAGCTTCACTTTGCAAAGAATAACCAATCATGTGCAAGAAAAAATAAAAAAAAAAAACAGCATTTTTGCTTGGCCATGATTGGATGACGCGGAGCTTCTGCTCATTTACTAAGCTCTGGAGCAATTGCTCTTACAAAGTGCACAATCTATTTGCCTTTAGTAAATCAACCCCAAAGTGCACATTGTTTTTCTTTTGTCCTGGTTATCCAGCAATTAGTGTATTAGAATGTATGTCCTGCTGTGTTTGTGTTCAAAATGTAAACTGACATAGTGACATTTTCCTCATTTATGAGCATTCGCCTTTTGATTTTATGCACAGTTCTTCCATATTGTAAAACATTGACAACTGACAATTATCTTGCCTTTATATTATTACTGAATGAAATTACATTAACATATAAGTTTACAGCCTAGGAGAAAATGTATTGGTCTGATGGATACAACCTCAGCCGATGACTTTATTAAATTATTCCCGGCACTATATAATTGCTTTTTCAATTTGTTTTGCCTGTAAGAAGAACATTATTGAACTGGCCAACTGTATTGGTATTACACCTTACCACTAACCAGGTAGGCTCTTTCATAGACTGGTCTATGTGTGTCTTGTTGCATGTAGCTGTCTCCTAAAAAGAAAAAGATTTTCGGAAGCTGTACCAAAAAGAGGCAGGCAGAGGGCAAAAGGCTAGTATTGCCTGTGTGGTTTACTTGCAGCAGTTCTTTTTTTCCATTACTGACTTACAATGCCTTGTTCCACACTGTGTAGGGGTGGCCAACTTAGTAGAGGCTTGGCTTTGCTCCTTCATGTAAGAGCCTCCAGCAAGCAAAACAGTGAATAGCAAAGTATTAATATCACCAAAATTTCCCTCCAGATGTCCTGAGACTACTGACTACTGACGGACTGACAACTCATGGGGCCCCCGGGCAATAGGGGATCATGGGGCCCCTGTGTCCTTGCCCAAACTCAAAAAAGCCTATGAAAAAGGTACCAGGGGCATCTCATGGGGCCCCCTACTGACCCCGGGCCCTCGGGCAGTGCCCGAGTTTCCAAATGGTCAGTCAGCCCCTGGGTCAGAGGCAGCTGTGACTTAAATTTTAGGCTCGGTTCACACCATGCAGGTGCA